GTTGCACAAATCAGAGGATGGGTGCTTTCTTTATGCATATGTTTCGCTATATGCATCTATCAAAGGCTGGGAGCATTGCAGACCGATAATGGTTGTTGACGGAAGCTTCCTTAAAGCAGCATATAAGGGTACTATATTGACTGCTTGCACACAAGATGGAGCTGGTGAGTTGACTGCATCTATGTTGTTTCTGCAGTTTGTATAATGTTTATGTTTCATGTATAAAAGTGTATAGGATTTCGNAAAAGTGTATAGGATTTCACAGCTGCTGTTTTTATAAAATTTGCAGTTGGTATAAATCTGTATAATTGTGTATAACTGTGTATAATATTTGTATAAATTTTGCAGTTGGTATCTCCAGACTAAATTACAGTCTGAATCCTAATATCTATTTTTGTATAAACAGGAAAAATCCTTCCACTTGCGTATGCAATTGTGGATTCAGAGAATAATAAATCTTGGGGTGGTTCTTTATCCAGATAAAGGGTACTTTTGGAGTTAGGGAAGGGATGTGTATAGTTTCAGATAGAAATGAAAGCATCTTCAATGCCACAAAAGTTGTGTACCCAGAAGTACCACATTGTATTTGCATGTTTCACTTGTGCCAGAATGTAAAGCGCACATTCAAGAAACATCACAAACAATTGAAGGATATCTTCTTTGCTTTGGCAAGAGCTTACACGATAGAGAAGTTTGAGTACCATATGACAGAGTTGTGCAACATTGATCTGAGGGTGCAGCCTTACTTGTTCGAAATTGGGTACGAAAGGTGGTCTAGAGCATATTCCAAGGTGAAAAGGTCGATGGTAATGACTTCCAATATTGCAGAGTCAATTAATGCAGCTAACAAGGATGCTAGAGAGTTACCAGTAATGCGATTGCTGGAGTACATGACAAATTTGCTACAACAGTGGAACAACAAAAACAGAAAAAGTGCAATGGAGACATCTACAGAGCTTGACGAAAAGTACGACAAATTCCTTCGGGAAAATCTGATTGCATCGGAGAAAATGACGGTAAAATGAATCAAATATAATGAATCTTGGCACTTCTGACTTGCATTTTACTGTTCTTTAATTTTATTTTATTTTTTTAAAAAAAAAAACTTTTGCAGGTGAGGCCTGCTACGGATCAGTTATATACTGTGCTTGAAGGGGTAAGGAGAAACATAGTGTGCCTTGAAGAGGGAACAGGCAGTTGCGGAAAAATTCAAATGGATGAACTTCCATGTCCGCATGCTTGGGCGGTTTTGAAGAACCAGCAGCTGAAACCTGGCCAGTATTGCTCTTTTTACTACAAGAAGGATAAACTCCTTAGCACTTATGAATTTCCAGTGAATCCGATGCCAGATGAGAGTTTATGGGTAGTCCCAACAGAGGTGATGGAAGATGTGGTCCTACCACCTAAAGGGAGAAGGAATGCAGGAAGGCCAAGAAAGGAAAGACTCAAGCCTGCTTCAGAGAAAGAGTCTAAGAGAGCATTTTCATGTTCTGTGTGTGGACAAGGTGGTCACAATAGGAAAACATGTAGGAATCGACCAAAATAAATAGTTGGAAACAAAACGCTTCCTATTACATTTGTTGTCATGTTGAGTAGTTAAGTTTCAGAAACAATATAGTTACAAATGTTGATTAGTTAAGTTTCACAATCAATTGACATGTTTCATTATACATGTTTTGCTTATCCAATAATAGTGTCTTCCTGTTTTTAATGGTACTAAATATATTGATAGATTGTAGAAATACAAAACAGGACTGCAAACAATCACTGGTATTACATGTATAAAGATGTATAAATGAGAGTATAAGTTTGTATAAATTTGTATAACTATGTATATAATTGTATACATATGTATAAAACCTGCTACATTAACAAAACTGCAACCATAATGAAAATACATACTTTGTTAAAGGACAAAAGCAACTGAAAATATTCATTCCATAAAGATTGGATTCTCAGTCCATATCCATGTCTTGTTTCCCTTTCAGAATTCCAAAAGTACCTGAAGAAGGTGTCTCAGGAAATAAAGGAAGAGGAACTGGGACTGGACCCATTTCATCCTTAGGAAATAATGGAAATATAGGTAACATAGGAGGAGTCATAACATACGGAATATTCTCTTGAACAGAGACGAATTCAGGATTTGAAATTATGGTAACAGGCAAAGAAGCGGCTGAAACCGAGACTTGACTTTCACCAGCAGTAGCCAGAAAAGGATGAAAAATAGGCTGCATTCCATTTGGAATAACACAATGGTGAAAGAAGCAAAGTCGAATAGCTTGTAAAGGACAAAAGCAACTGAAAATATTCATTAAGATGTAATTCATTCACAACAACAATGTGTAATGACTGCCTCAAATTACATTCANAAGAAATAAAACAGAACAACCATCACTACCAGATTTTTAAACTATAGAACTTTATACACTATTATACATAGGTATACATATTTATACAAGGTTATACAATCTTATACTGTGATTATACAAAGCTATGTATATACTATGCAAGTCTCAAAACAACAAAGATATGCAACAAAAATAAAAAGGGAATTAGAACAGAAATTTATTAAAATACCGTGTCAATCAAAGGGCGGCCACAATATGCAAGTGAGTGGAACCAATCCTTCTTGGTCACATAACACGAGCCAAAAGTAAAACCTTCCACAAGATTATTTACTTCATCGGGATATATATGTTTGGCACTTCAAATAACAAAAAATAAAAAGTAATCAGAACTACATTAATTGACACGTATAAAATCAGAAAATCAAAGATTGAAGAAAGTGAAGATACTTTCGCCTCGTATCCATCCCATTATCAACAAACACACAAAACTCTTTAGCCAATGGCGACAATGTATCAAAATCATCAATTTCAATCGTGAAAGGATGCTTCATATAAAAAATGAGCTTCGGCGCCGATTTTGATGCTCTAGAATCAAAAACTGACAAATATGGAGATTTGGCATATTTTCCTGGTATTCTCTGTCGAACTGAATGGTCAGGAGAAATGTAATCATCTTCTACTTCTATGATCGATTGTTTGTGAACCACAAGTTGGGACAGCTGAGCTAAATCTTCATCACCAATGTCATCCCAAAATGTGTCACCCTTGACATCACCTGCTGCCCCTTAGAAATAGAAACACAAATAATACAAAACTTCAAAAAGAGGAAAAGAAAAATCAGACCAAAAAAAAAAAGAAACCAGAACAAATACCATTATCAACACCATCAGTAACTCTCTCGTTAGCTACCACATTATCTTGATTCATTTGATTGACAAAGTTAGGAACAACATCATATTGATAGCCATCAAATTTGCCAAGACCAGATGTATTGTCATCAAACACGGGCTGACGAATATAATAAAAAACAATAGAAAGAGAAGGCATGTTGAGTTCAGAGAAGGCATAACTGTTGACTGATTTGGTTTTATCAGTAAACAATTACCTTAGAATCAGTAAAATCCTCCCTCGTTTGCTTGGGTTCCTTATTATTCGGAAAACTGAACACTTTTTCAAAGGAAGAAACGACATAGTTGTTGAGCGTCGTCACTGTATCAGTCAATTACAACAAAAGCAAATAAACAACCATGTTTATAACCAAAAAGTAATTATAAACTACAGAAAAGCTAAAGGTCCAGTACCTTTCCAACATCACTCCTCAGCTTCTCAACTTCATCATTCAAAAGATCAAGGCACACAAAAGGATCATAACTTGGATTAGGCTGTTGATTCATAGTCTGAGGACAAGGTCATTTAGACTGTTGCTTTGCATTTTGAGGATAAGGTCTTGTAGACTGTTGCTCCATATGCTGAGGACAAGGTGAAGGTGCAGCAACAAAATCATCAGTGTGAGAGGCAGGAACAACAGGCACCTCCCCTGATACAACATCATCGGCATTGACTTCAAAAAGCGTGTCGATGTTCAGACTTGACATCTCTTCAGAAGTAGGGGAAATTTTATTATAGTTCAACTACAAGAAGAAAAAAACAGGATTACAATAGTAGAATAATACAGAAAAACTGAAATCATATATGAAGAAGTATTATGGTACAAAATGTTTACCTTGTCGACACTACACATGATCACGCCGCCAGTCAAATCCTCATATGATGGAGTGTTAGTCACTTTCCAATTAAGAATGCGTGGCACATTTGTGCCAACGCGAATAACTAGATTCTTATCAACCATTGAGCAACACTCAAAAAACCAAACCTGTAAAGCAAGCGGCAAACCTCCAAGCCTATACATTGTCAAATAATCACATTGTCTGTCCCTCATTGTCCTTAAAACATCTTCAAATGACTTTTTTCCCCAAGGAAACATCTTATATTGGCCACTTTCGATGATATCAAAATCATCTTTGGTGATACCATGATTATTGGCATCAGAGAAGATGAAATGATGGACAAAAACCATCAAGGCCATCTTGAACGCATCTTCATCCGACTTCCACTCCTTTTGCTTGAAGCGATCAAGAAACTCTCCCCTTGTTATGGCCTTTTTTTCATCTCCTGGAAAATACTCTTTCAACAATCTATTAACATTTGGTTTGTCATAGAAGGAGGCGTCGTCGTCTACGCACTTCAAACCAGTGATAAGAGCAAACTCTCCAATGCCAAAACGCAGCAAACAACCATTAATCTTCACCCATAACTCCTTTTCACGTCCCGGGACGACTTCCCTCAATAATATACAATGAATAAGTTGATTTTGAATTTTAAATTGAGGGAGGTCCAAGAAGTACCCAAAACAACTAGAACGGAACATCTGAAGCTGCATGTCAGTCAAACATTGCTTCAAAATGTTCACAATTTGAGGCTCGGTATGGGAACTAATCCTGTTGTGGAAATAATTAACTGGTTGTATATAGAAGTCCCCAACCTTGCATATAGAAAAATAACAAGAAATAGATCAACAACAAAAAATATACTAATAAATTTTATAAAACTGTATATATAAGTATATCAGTACTTGTATAAAGATGTATAAATAGATGTATAACTTTGTATAAAACTGTATAACCATGTATAAATAAATAGCAAAACAGGGAATACCTTCAACTTAGCTTTTCTCTGATTCAATTTCTTCCGAATAGCAACCCTTTGTTCTCTCGAACGTAAATCAAGGCAAGACTCACCATCATCCTTGTAAGGACGTGATTTTTACCCTATATGAGAATTACTCCCAAAAAATTCAAAAATAAAATGATTTTCCTTGGTGTGCAATTTTGTGATATTTTTGAATAATTATTTGTATTTGTCTGTGCATGTTTATTTGTTAAATTAATAAAAATACAAAAATATGTCGCATTTTGCATATAGGATTTAATTATACAATTGTTAGTAATTAAGTTTATTTTACAAAAATTGAAAATTACAAAAAATAGGCATCTTCTGCATTTTTAGCATTTAATGTCCAAATATACAATTTTATGCTTAATTATTACTTAATTGTGCGTTAATTGTTATTGGGAGTTAATTTGCGCTTTTATAACTTAATTTAGTTCTTAATAATAATTTAAGTATTTTTATAATTTAGTTTTAGAAAAATAAAAGAAGAAAAGAGAGCAAAAATACAAAAAAAAATCGGATTGGGCCACTTCTTCAATTGTAAGCCAAAGGCCCAAAAAATTATCCAATCTTCCCAAACGACCCGGTCCATTTCAAACCGGGTCGACCCAGTCCATAACCCCAAAGACCAACACCCCTATTTCCCTATCTTTCATTTAACAAAACCCTAAAATATTCACTGTTGAAAAAAAACCACCCGCCCCCTCTCTTGCTCTCCTTCTTTAAGCTTTCACAACCATGGCTGCCCTTCCCCCCTTGCCCAACGACCACCCCTCCAGCCCTTCCCCCTCACCCCGTCACACTCACACACACACACGTCAACACGCACACACACATACACAGTAAAAAACGCACACACGCAGCAGCCTTTCATGGCTGCTGCTTCTTCTTCGTTCTTCATCCAAACGACCAAACGACCCTACTGTCATTGCGATGTTGCTGCTCCGTCCAGCCAGTCGCACACAGTCCGTCGTGTCGTCGACCACCTTCGATGTTTCTTCGTCTCCGAGCAGCCATGAACAAGCTCAAGCTCAAGCTTTCATGGCTGCCGACATCGACCATGTCTTCGTCCAAACGAGCATCGTCGTCTCCATCGCTGCCACCAGTTGAGTAGCGTTGCTACTGCTGCCCGCGTCGCCACTGCTGCTGCATTTTTCTTCCAGCTGTCTGCTGCTTCACTTCATCGTCCTCTTCGCTGCTACTATTTCGTTGTCGCTTCGTCGTCTTCAAGTCCGTTTATGTCAAAATTTCGTTGGATTCGTTTAAAGTTCGTTCGAGTTCGTCGTTGGTCATTTACGGTTAGTTGTTCTAAGTTTTGTTTCTGTCCGTAATTTGTTTGATATTTTTCGGATCCGAAATCATTAAATGTTTGATTCTTGTTCTTGATTTTTATTTAGTTGTTTTATTTTTTGTTTTATTTTTTAGGTAAAAATTGTTAGTAATTATAATGTTTTTAGTTTTAAGTTGA